GTTGTTAATCGATAACTCGATAAAGTCTTTTCGTTAACGCCTGCTATGCGCATTTCCCATTGCAGACGTTATCGAGTTATCGATTAACAACCCTGCAACGGATATCGATTTTCAGCCTCTAGACATCATCCCGATTCCAAAAATATCTATATTGATGGATATTTGACAGTATTCCCCACTTTTCTGAAATCGGAAGAGGCCATCTTGGATTTCAAAATGGCGCTGGATTGCGATTTTCAGTCTCTGGCCTCTGACGTATTTCCCACTTTTTATGAAACCAAAAGCCGCCATATTGGATTTCAAAATGGCGTCGGATATCAATTTCTGGAATCTTGACATCATCCCGATTCCAAAAAAATACCCATATTAATGGGTATTTGACAGTATTTCCCACTTTTTCTAAAATCTGGAGGCGCTATTTTGAATTCTAAAATGGCTTCGAATATCGATTGTCGATCTGTAGACGTCGCCCCGATTCCAAAAATACATATTGATGTGGGTATTTGACAGTATTTCCCATTTTTTCTGAAATCGGCAGCGGCCATCTTGGATTTCAAAATGGCGTCGGATATCGACTGTCAGCCTCTGGTCATCATCCCGACTCCAAAAATACCTACCTACCTGTAATGTTCCGACGCTCATCAAATAGAGTATTGATCGCTTCGTTTTTCTTCTGAAATCGGTTGGACTAATGCCTTCTTCAGACTACACAGTTGGTTATAGCACAGACAAACAGACATAACACTCATAAGTTGTTCATCGAACAAGTATTTAGCGGTCAATTTGAAAGTATCTCAGTTGGTAGTACCATGTAGTACTGCCACCTGTGGCGCGCATAGTAAATTCCTTTGCGATTGACGTTTACACACTACCGCCATCTGTTCAGCGTACTACCCACCACAGTTTACTCAACAGAGGGCGGTAATGTTTTAGCGACGATGTTTTACAATGAGAAATATTCAATGTGTTATGTCTGTTTGTCTGTGATTATAGATTATAGTATCGTCAAGAAAAATGTCTTCACGATAGCGATGTTATAACTCTCCAGCGTCTTTCCAGCGCGTTTAAACTTCAGCTGCTCTCGGAAGCGTCAGACATAAGATACGACACTCGTTCTAACATTGAAAATCGACAATAGTGAACAAATCAAAACCGCTTTTCTAAAGTTCAAGTTTAAGAATCATTCCTCTAAAGGAGCAATAAGCACTGTATGTATCATGAGAGAGAGAGAAGGATTAGTATTTTCCATTTAATTCCACTACTATTTGCTTATCCTTGACAGATACGCGTATTTCGTCTACAATGTGCAGACTTCTTCAGTGTCTTGTACTAATACTCGACTGAAGAAAAACATCGCATTTACCGAATATATATTAACACAGGTACATTTTCACTTAGAAACTAGGTAAACTTAAATTTAATTTTCTATAGCAACAGGTACTCCGCTGCTTACTCGTTGATGTGTCCTAGGTAGTAACTTGAAAAGCCATGTGTGTCCGTTTCCTTGAATTTTGTTGACACGTTGTTTGTTGATCTCGAGGCTTTCTGCAACATCCAATTTCCATGGTGTAGATACGGTTAGTAAAATCGTGATGTCCTCCGTCGATAGTTGGTCTTAGTCTGTGAAGATGTGTTCTGCAACCTTTGATTTGAAATCATATGTTAGGCCTTTTTCCTCTTGCTTTTTGGCTTTATTGACCTCCGCTATATGTCCTTTAAATCTAGTTGCTAAAGTTCTCTTGGTTTGTCCTACATATACTTTGTTACAATGATTACAGCTTATTTTATATACACCTGCTTTACCTAAAACATTAACTGGGCCTTTAGTGGATCCTAACAATGATTTCAACTGGTTATGTCTACTGGTGAAAACTAAATCTAATCCGAATTGTTTTAACTGTGGGTTAGCTTACAAGTAATATCTTGATCAAATGGAACGGACACTCGTTTCAATGGTTCAGGTGCTGCGGTGAGGGTTGTAAATAATCTCCTTTGTAGAATTCTCGCTTTTTTATCGATGATTGCCTGGATTGTGGTCTCCTTGTATCCGTTGAGTCTTGCTGTTTCGAAGATGTACTGTAATTCCTTAACCTTTCCTGTATCGCTGAGTGGAAGAGTCTGCATTCGGTGAATCATGTGGTGAAAGGCGGCCATTTTCTGCTGGAACGAATGGGTGGGTATAGGGGATAACTCTTTTGGTGCTTGTTGGTTTCCTGTAAATTTCGTATTCAAGCGAGGAAGATGATGACGATTCCCTGATGACTAGAAGATCGAGAAATGCGAGTTTCCCGTCTTTTTCTATCTCGTGAGTGAATTTGATATCCTTATGAATTCTGTTGATCTCATCTAAAATTTGTGGAAGGGCTTCCCGTTTAACTACGCTGAAGATATCGTCAACAAACCTCCACCAACGGTTTGATAATAGTCCTTTCTCCTTCAGGATTGTCTCCAAGTTGGCCATGAAAAGTTCACACAAGAAGGGGGATAGGGGGTTTCCCATTGGGGCTCCTTTCGTCTGCTTGTAGAAGTTACCTCGGAAAGAGAAGTAGTTCTCTTCCATACAAAGGCGGGTCAGCTTAAGGTACGTCCGAACCTTGTTTCTCCATGCTGCATCCTCTCGTTGTGTTAATAGCCAGTCCTCCAAATGGTTGATCGCTTCCTTGACCGGTACGCTGGGAAAAAGAGCTGTGACGTCAAAAGATACCATAATCTCGTCCTCGTTGATGTCTCCTGAAGATTGTAGTTTCTGGGTGAACTCCTGGGTGTTACTAACTGCTTTACTCTGGAACTGATTCGGCATACTCTGGAACTCTTTGACTAGCCACTTCGCTAGTTTGTGGGTGGGGGAACCAACTGCAGACACGATCTCTCGCATTTCATTTCCTGGTTTGTGGACTTTGGGAAGACCTTTGATCCTGGGTAGAATGGGATTGGGTTCCCGTATACGACCTGCTCCATCTCCTAATATCGATTTGCACTCCTTCAGTGCTTTCTCCACGCGTTTCACTATGTTCTGTAAGGGGTCTACTCGAAGCTGTCTATACGGTCCGTTGTTAATCTTCGTTGTCATTTGATTATCGTAATCGTCCTTGTCCATGATAACGACCGCGTTTCCCTTGTCTGCCTTTACGTAGTATACTGCTTTACTTTTTAGCTCATTTACAATCCGAATTTCTTTTTCGTTGGCGCGTCCGTCCTGTCCGTCCTTGATTATGTTCGATGTGATAGTCCTAACCGTATTCTGTGATGTTGTTGGAAGCGTCTTGGTAATCGCTGTTTCTACGTCAATGATGATCTGCTCCACGTCTGGCTTGGTTGTAACCGCGTATCCTAGCCCCTTGTTGAGGTGTGTCAATTGTTCTTCCGTGAATGCGGTCGTCGATCGGTTGACAACCAACCCATCAATGGAGTGAACCCTCGGCGTCGTGGTGATGGTTGATGGGATCTGCTCACCCGTTCGGTGTGTCGTCCGTCTCCGTTGAGACTCCTGTCGTAGTTTGTTTAGCTTCCTATCCTGCAGCTTCCGTTTCCTATCCGATTCGCACTCCTCTGCTACCTTGGCCCTAGACAGAAACTCCTGGAATTTAATTGGATACTCCTTGGCCAATTTGAGACGTAGATAATAACATTCCAAAACCTTCATGTCCAGTTTGCTATATAGCCGTCTGATGCTATCCTTGATGAACTCTGCTTCCATCCTTTTTACTACGCTGGGTGGGGTGGGTGTCCGTACTTTAATCCTATGGCTTATAGGTATAACCTTATATTTTTGGCATTTCTTCAGAAATGCTACGTCCTTGTGAAGCGATGCGATGGTTTTCTTCAATCCGATGAATTTATTTGGCTCCGACGGCTTGGTTGCCATGATGAATCCTGATGAATGTGGGCGTCTTAGTGGAATACCTGTATAATGAGAGAGAGAAGGATTAGTATTTTCCATTTAATTCCACTACTTTATTTGCTTATCCTTGACAGAAATACGCGTATCTGTCAAGGATAAGCAAATAAAGTAGTGGAATTAAATGGAAAATACTAATCCTTCTCTCTCCCATTATACAGGTATTCCACTAAGACGCCCACATTCATCAGGACTGTATGTATCGCCGCTTTTCTTAAGATCTTATCAATTTTTTTCCTTGGACCGATTCCACAACAGTTATCGAAAGGCTTAAGGCTACCCCCACTACCTGAACTACGTATGTTGTCAACCGGTTTTCCAAGATCTAGCACATAACACAGTGATGTAGTTGAACAACAACAGTTTCTTCTCGCGCTGAGTTGATCGCTGTTGTCCTCAAGTTGCTATTTTTTCGTGTGAGACAGGGGTGAAAGTGAACATTTTGAGTCATGTCTATACCTTTATGAAATCGCACTTAATAACACATCTCGCCTTCATCGTTAGAATTCCTTACCGTTAACCATCGTCATAAAAGTTCTTACAGTTCTAAAAACTGAAGCTTCCACCCATCCTCATCCCAATGGGAAAAGCGACACATCTATTTTTATCTTCTTCAAATCAACTTTCCTATACCAACAACAACAACGCGAAGAGGAGAATGGGCATGACAATAAATCTCACTCCTCTCCGTTTACATGTATACGGCGTCGGCCCCAAGGAAAAGCCGATCATATGCGATCATTGCGCAATAGCCGCTCACCATCGCTCTCGTCAGATCCACTTCACAGAAGAGACTGACGATTTTCTTTCATTCGGAAAACCTTCCCCACAGATAACGGTTGTCCTACCGGATGTGAGCAGCATACCGACCGAACTGGAAAGCGCCCTTGCCGACAGCGATCACTATCTGGTGCGTAACATATCCCTGCAGGCCCTGATCAACCGGTCGTTCATCGAAGGATTCGTCAAAAGAGGTTGGTGCCAGAAAATGAAGGTGAAAATTTGGATTGAGATGGTCTCTTTTAGGAAGCTTCTACGCAGTATCTTTCCGCACCCGGCTGGACACGGACGACTGTGTCGCCGTGACGCCAATCGGAACTTTGGTGCTCCATCTGAACAAGGAAACCTACCAGACGCTCGGTCTCGACGGTCGAGTATCGGAGTTTGCCGGCAAGCGAAACAGCAAATACGGTAAGTTAAAGAATCATTTCGAGAAGCGATTGAGGAGGGGTTCAAAGAAGGAGGAGTGGATGATTTCACTCTCATTTTTTTCGGTTGTTTTGGGTCACGTTTACAAAATCACCTTTGCCGCGGGTGACGCAAAATATGATTTGAGAGGAACGCCATCTCCCTATACACAATTTCAAAACAGTACACACACGTAAAAATAGAACATATGATTGGAATTAAGATCTTCAAAAGCCTTCGGTTTGAACTCCTCGCAGTCGAATCGATTGTGTTGCAATTGGTATTGATGGCATTCCATACCCGCCCGTAGCTTGAACGATCGATCATGCCCAGACTGGGTCAACCGGTTCGGCTCGAGAAGCTTGCCCTCAAGGGCACCGCCGTATGGCTTTGTCATATTGCCGAACTCCTAATGCCGACGATGCTCGTTCTGAGCAAACAAGACAGCCACGAAGGGCAAAGCTTTCTGAAATCGATCGTTTTTGAGCTACGCGATGACTACGATCACTGTATCCCGGGGCATTTGTATGACGAGTTCGGGAAGGAGTTGATCGCTCAGATATCGTGTCTGATCGTACGGATCAAGAAGGCACTGGACATTCGGACGTCCATGACAAATTTCCTGTGCCAGATGAACGTGGCCAACTCGATGGCGGAGGTTTTGCTGTCGCGGAAGCTACAAGCCATGCAGATTGATGAGTTACCAAAGACGATGCGGCATATATTCTACTCAAAGATGAGCGATCTGAAGGGATTGCGATACTTAAGTCTGGGCTCCATGAGTGGAGGCTGGAAAACTGAGGACATGGCGCCTACCATTTTGAACGGGTTGAGCACTATGAAGAATTTGACTGGATTGACGCTGAACTACGACTGCACGGATATTATACTCCGGGCGATGATCAAGAACTGTCCCAACCTGGAGTACTTGGACATTTCAAACTCCAAGTATGTCACAAATGACAGCGTTGAGATTCTGGCCAAACTGAAAAAGCTGAAAGTAGTTATTCTTATGCGAACTGATGTGACCCTCTCCGGTATGATCGAGCTTCTTGTCAAGGCGAAGAATCTCACCGACATCGGTCGGTACGATCAACTGGGCCGTTGTCTGGAGTTTATCGAACAGAACTATCCGGAAATCAATCATTTGAAGTTGCAAAAGTTCGAGACCCGCTTTGCGACAACTCGCCACATTCAGCTTCTGGCAGAACTCTGCCCGGACATGCGCCACGTGTCCATCTTCCACAACATGCTTCTCATGGACCTGATGACGCTAATAGCCATCAACAACCTCGCCGAACTGTATCTTCTCTCGTGTGACTTCTTCGCCGATCAAGTTCGAGACGTGCTCCAAGTCAAAGGATGCAACCTGACCCACTTGCATCTGGAACACGTCGAACAGATGGACATGAACGCTCTGGTCTACATCAGCCAGTACTGTCCGGACCTGAAAACGCTTTCCCTGTACAACTGTGTCATGATCCCGTCTACGTCGGTGTTCCTTAGGCAATATGCTATCCCACCGTTTATGAACCTCGAACGGCTGGCCTTCATATGCGAGTGCCCTTTCCAACATCTCGAATTTATCCTCATGACTGCGTTGAAACTCAAATTCCTTCAAGTCGGAACGCTAGCCTACACTAGTGACGAGATGTTCGAGCGGATCTTCCTGCGCAATCCCCTGCAGTACTTGGAGGACGTTCGGATTATCCACTCGGACGAAATGACGATCGAGACGGCGTACCGATTCGTTGAAAACTGTCCCAACCTGTTGCTGTTGAACGAGCTCGAGTGCTGGAAGAAGGTCAAGGACTACGAACTGATGCAACTTCGGCAGATGATCAAGGAAAGGAACTATGCCGTCCATACGGCACCTCTCAGAAAATATGCTCAAGAGTGAATCTTACTTTTAGACTTAGTATGTTGTTGCACATTTGTATATGAGAAGCTATATGTTAAATAAAAATATATATTCTGTTTCTAATTCACCCTTTCTGGCTATCGACAGTGGTCCACATCGATCTACTCGCGCTCCAGCCGGAAACCAAACACTTCAACCGGGTTCGAGAATGTCTCGGTCGGGACTGTCTGGGTCGGTTCGATCTGCAAATCTCGTGGACCCCTCCGAAGGCGGCGGAGGTCTGCCCGTCATCGGTGGCCAAGTATTTTGCGGATTTGGCGTTGTCCGACAGGGAGATTAAGGTGGAAGTGATGCCGACCTTGATCAAGGCACACCAGGAATACGGGCTGAAGGTTCCGTTACTCAAGCTGACCGGGCAGGACGGCGATAAGGAGTACTGTAGTGGAGGTGAGTTGGTTGAGTATATGGGAATGCTGGCGCTGTCGTGCAATACGACCGAGGAGGAATATCTGAACTCGTACGATTTCTGTGGCGAACGGGTGGAGATCGGCAATGCCAAGGTGATGCATTGGAGTGGATTCTTTACGCCGGGCCAGGTCGAGGCCATGTACAATGCCATGCGGAGGGCTTTGGAGGTGGTTCAGAACGTCCCTTGGATGGGAATGTACGTGCAGGGATTTTCTCACAGTCCGGTTAGTTTCGGAATGCGGGAGAATTACTTCCACACGGACGGAGAGAATTGCTACACCATCGTCATGAATCCCAGTGGGGAGTACCTCTGGTATCAGGTGGTGCGGAACAATAAAATACCGAAATAAATACGGGTAGCGCACTGTATCAGATCTGCTTTATCGACGTAGAGAAGTCCCTGCCGGAGGAGAAGCTTTTTGTACTAAACCTTTGGGTTCAAGATGAGGGAAATAAACAACAGGTTGGATTGGTGAATGGTGAGTTTGTGTTTGTGTGAAACTTGGGAAGTTCGTAACTTGAATGATGAATCGAGTGGTAGCTTGCTCGCTATTCTTTAGACCTTGTACAGACATACAAAGTCAAGAGCAAATTTTCATTACGTCGAATGTAACAAAGGTAAACAAAGTCGAGCTATCAGTGTCAATCGATTCTCCTGCTATTACACTATATACTGTCCGAATATAGGATCAAATCCCATTTTTAAATTTATTCACCAGTCAAATTGCTTTTTGACGTAATCACCTTCCGATCAAAATAGTTTTCGATGTTACTTAAGTCACCCAATTTCTATGGAGATGCCGTTTGACTTAAGTAACAGCGCTGAGAAACCCGTGAAAAGTATACGTTCGTCGTTTCGCTTTCTCATTATTAAAGTGAATAAATCGAACTGTTTGTTGCTAAGATGATTTCGGTGGTCCTAAAATGATGAATGGGCTGCACGTAAGGAGACGTAATTGACAATTCTCCCGAATATCCTGGTAAATACACTTTGACTTAAGTAACAATAGGGGCCACCAAACGACGTATAATAACTTTTGACTAAAAAACCAGTATTTTTTAGTATGAAAGCTAGCGATTTGCATTTGTATGATTAAAACCCTGCTAAATATGTTAAACATTGCTATCACAATGAGATTATATGTGTTTACTTGGAAATAGGAATAACTTTTCGGTCATCAAAACAAAACTTTATTTTTCTCGGATTGGTGCGAATGTTACTTACGACATAATGAAAATTTGCTCTTGAAGTATACTATGTTGTACCATAGAGGTAACTCTAAAACCACAGACAAACAGACGTAACTCTTTGAAAAAGTTTTTCTTGAAAACATAGTCACCCCTATTCTGTATTTCGTTTCGAACGAAATTCTCATACAAAAAATATTTTTTTTGTATGAGAATTTCGTTCGAAACGAAATACAGAATAGGGGTGAGTATCTCAAAACATATGAGCTCAGTAACGACATCTCTCGGGTTTCTCGCGGAAAACAAGCTTGCTCGCTAGCTCGCAAACAATATTGCATAAAAGTTCCATAGAATGTATAGAAACGTCAAAGTGATCCGACGCCAGCGCTGCGGCGAGTAGTTCGCGGAACTGATAATATTCAAATCAACCGTTAAATGCATGAACGAAGATACACAATGAAGTGTTACGTCTGTTTGTCTGTGGTCTTAGAGTTACCTCTATGGTTATAACATGTTATAACGGTTGTCAACTAATTACAACACAGAAACCACCATCAAGATAGCGCTATAACATGTTATAACCATAGAGGTAACTCTAAGACCACTGGGTCCCGAAGAAAATCATTATTATTTTTGGCTCACTCAGTACCAGAACAACGGTCCCAAGCAGTCCCAAGCAATTTCACTCACCCCTGCATGTTCTGCATGAATCCACACACCCCTGATGTTATCTGTCAAACTTTCATAGCGAATCAAAACAAACATAGTGTAGTAATAGAATTTCAACTAGAATAGGGTACGTTAATCGTTTGCTTGGGACCAATAGGCTACTAAAGTGGTGAGCCATTTTAAAATCGTTAGTTTCGTATTGATTGTTGTTATAACTCTGTAGTCTGAACGTACTATAAGACTAGTAGGTCCCACAGAAAAGCGTCCAACTTTTTGGCTCAGCTCTGGTACTATCTTCGGTCCCAAGCTAATCGATGCACCCCTCGAAACATAGGAAAATCCACGAACCCCTCATTTTATCTGTCAAACTTTCATAGCGAATCAAAACAAACATTGTGTAGTACTAGAATTTCGACTAGAAAGGAGTACGTTAATCGATTTGCTTGGGACCAATAGGCTAGTCAAGTAGTGAGCCAATTTCAAATCGTTAGTTTCCATCGGTTGGTGGATTTTCCTTTGTTTCGAGGGGTGCATCGATCAGCTTGGGACCGAAGAGAGTACCAGAGCTGAGCCAAAAAGTTGAGCACGTTTCTTCGGGACCTTCTGGTCTTAGAGTTACCTCTATGGTTAGAACATCAATATCGTTCGCCTCAATGTCTGTGCGCAAATGACATTGACATCGTAAAGGGACCACTGATATTCAAATTTATACCGCAAATGTTTCTTATATACGCCAGCTGATCGAGTACAGATCTTTAGAAAACTCATCAGTAATTGATGAATCTACGCGAAACTGCACCAGTGCATGCGACACCTAGGTTTGAAATCCAAAACCACATAAGTGATATACTAAAAAATATTCCATACGATTTGACAGGTAGCAAAACGTCATTATCATTTTATCATTTCCATCTGCTGGTCGACCGTAACGTAAATTAATCAATATTAAAACAATGCAACGGATATACAAAAAAGTTGATTTATTGAGATAAACGTAAGATTTTCAGCTTTCCCCGAGTGATATTCACATGGATAGCAATATCAAAGCCGTACCGCCTGATATCAGTGAAATTCAGTGCTAGACCAATATCTTGCGTCAATTGGGTTCTTTAACACTCAGAAAAAACGCTCTGTAATGAATCAACAAAATATTTTGTTGTTTTTTAATACAATGCCTTGGTTTGTTTCTGTTCATAAAAAAGTTTTAAATTAATAGAGCGCTCCATTCACTTTAAATATATTAATTTGATTGAATTGCATCATTAATGCGATTGATTTAAATAAACGATATTTGATTTGTAACAATTATATATTTTTTCAATCGGAATTGTTACTTTGATTGTTTTAACTGAATATTTTTTAAGTGCACGTTTCAAACTGTCAGTCTGTATCGGCAAACGAAAAGAAGTTCCTCCTGCCTTTGCCTCCGTTATTATTGCTCTTAAAATGTAAGCCATAATTTTATTAAATTGTGTAGATTCTTTCAAATTATTATCAAATTAATTCATGTAATTACAATTTCAGCGGTGACGTGAAAAAAAAAACGCAGTAAAAACGCAATACCATAAAATTGTATTTGGTTCGTTAACGTTTTCATATTTGAATGATATGATTGAATTTGATTCCGACTCGAAGAATGCTTTTTATGCGAGCAAGCGTATTGTTCGCAATTTTCTAAAAACCTGAATTGTCATAGAATAAATAGGGGAAAACAATATTTATTGATTTACATAAATTTGATTTTGATACAATAAAAAAATATGAATCGCTACAACTAAAATTATTCGTTGCTCTAAAAAATGCTGCAGGTTGATTCAAGTAAACATTTTTTTGAATCAATAAAAATCGATGTTTAATTCAATAAAGCTGGTGGCATTATTTCAATTCAATATTTTTATTAGATTACTCTATGGATTTTATTGATCTATATTCTATTCAAAATTTTGTTTGAAATGAATCGTGCTTTATTTGAATGAACTATGTTTTTTTCTGCGTGAATTTTGAAAAATATATTCGTTTTTATACATCATCTTAAAGAGCTTCGTTTTCTGAGCACAGCGATATTTTTTTTCGAACCCACACACTTTCATCTTGATTTTTAAATCAAGATTTAAAGCAAAATAATAACTTCACTGTTGGACACAAGGGGTAAGTCACTCAGCACATTGTGCCGGAATTATATTCTACACAGCTTGGGCACATCCATCGGCACATTTTCGGCATACCTTCGGCATAATCTCGTAGGCATTAGATTGTTGTAAATAAAATGGGAGCACTTCTGGACAACTGTCATTAAAGTTGTTTAAAACATTACGTGCTGTTTGACTGCATGTTCAGGAACATCTTCTAATTGAATATACCAGAGCAACTCTGCTGGTCTGAGTTCACTTATAGCACAAACGAAGTGACAGACGGAGCGGCTCGAAAACTTTGGTGACTAACCTGCTATTGCAATTTTTCAGTGTACCACATGGCAACACCACTACCACTGGATTGTACCACATGGCAACACTACTACTGGATTGAACTAGCATTTTCACCAAATGTATTAAAATGTTTTGGTTCTATCTCTTTCACTCTACTCAAAACTGAAATGCATAAAAAAATGACAAAATGATACGCACTCTTTGCACACTGTCAAAGAATCATTGTACACAAAATCAACTTTGTTCAAATCAAAACAAAAAAACTAACCCATCTGGTGGATGATGGCACAAGCTTCCAAGAAAATTCTATTACAGTGAACCACATTATTTAAATGGATTTCTTCGCCAGTTAGTCGTCTGTAACTTCGTTTGTGCTTATAGATCTAAATACGAAATGTAGGTTCTAGAATGGACTCAAGAGGAAGAGGCAGTTAATCAGACCTCATTAATACCCTTAAAATGTTGCAAATCACACAATACAAACTAAAGAAGTCTATTCATAACTCTCTATAGTCGGTCTCTAACAATGCTCCCCACCGGTTCCAACTCTTTCCGGCGGAAAGACTAGATTTCTGGTCTGCCTTTGAGGGCATTATAAAACACTAAAACACAGGACTTTTACTACCCTATGGATCACAAAACACCGAAAGTTTACACACCCGCCACTTCCCGCGTCATCCTCAATCCGATTGATCCTTGCGATTTCAAACCAAAACATTCAAGGTGTCAGAAATACCGGGTTGCCGGGATGGGTATTTTACAAGCAATCGCAGCTTGCTCTATGACCGGCACAATCGGCATACTTGCGGCACACTGACAAAAAAGCTGACCCAAGATTGGTGTGCGGAGTGACCTACCCCTTGGTTGGACACTAAACTAACAAACTGACAGCTCGCTCCCATACAAAGTGACACCGAGGGGCGCTAATAAGGTGATTTTTGCAAATGTAATCGTTCCAGTGTACCAAAATTGATGAAATTTTGGGTTTGGGTTCCATTTTTAATGCAGATTACGAATATGCATTTACCTCAATACCCTTAAAGAACCCAATTAACATTGTTGACAGTACGCAGCACTGCAGTCACGACAACGATTAACAGAAACAAATCCAGTGACGTATTCAGTTTCTGCTTACCAACACATCCAAACGAGACATAAGTGCTACCCTGCTAAACAGCATTCACCCCCCGTCTGTCAAAACACCAAATATGATGGTGACGAAAAATCAAAACAAAATGTGATCGATCAGGTGACGACCCGAAAGGCATAGTTTTCCTTCGCCCGCGACTAAACTGGAGCCCCAAAATACCGAAATGACTCCAAATCCGAAGGAAAACAAGCTTAAACCGGGTCCTTCGGAGGAGTCCAACAGCAGCGGGGACGAGCGCCAGCAGGTAGCATCCGGAGAAGAGAACGAAGATGAGGAAATTGATGTTCCACTGGATGGTTTGCATGAATTTGGATCTCTTGTTTGTAAACTTTCATCATTGTGGTATAATTCTATTGTAGATTTCGACTCGGTCAATTCGTATCTCGATTCGCTGAATTCGGCCCTGGATGCGATCGAACAGCGCAACGACGATCTCAAAGATCAACTGCTGAATCTCCTGCAGTCGAACCGCGAAATCCGTCAATCAATGCAGGAGGAGAACGCTAAGCGCTCTGGTGGTGGTAGTGCTCCGGAACCGGAAACCACCTCCGGAGAATCCATGCAACATTGATTATACTCCTGCATTCCCCGTCTGCGTACTTGCAGAATAAAAGTATTGTTAATTAGCTGTTGTAAATAAATGCGTTTGTTTTGAAACCAAAAAACGAATATGTTTTATTCAACATTTCAAAGCTGATCTTCAACATCATGGTCAGCCGCGTACAACATCATGCGTTTGAAATAGTCCGTGTCGATCCTGTCGACGATCCTCGTATTTTCCTTGGTTCTCTTCCGGTGGTCCAGCACCGCCTGGCCTCTGGTCAACGCTCCCGTCAACTCGATATCCACGTGCCAATGTTCCGAGTGAACCACAATGTCTGGCTTGATGAAAACGGCTACAACGAACGCATCGCACGGCATCCAGTTCTGCCAGTCAGCGTAGCACTTGCATTCCACCTGGTTCAACATCAGCACGGCCTTATTCGCCGTCCTGCCCACAACATCCATCCTCCAGCTCATCTCCAGTCCCCGATGTTCGGAAACGCACGTTTCCCACGGAAGCAGCGTGATCGGACACATCAGGTTGTTGAATACGATGTGTGCCGCCTCTGGATCGGCCCAAAAATTGAACTCAGCGCTTTTGGTTGCATTGCCCACCCCGTGCCTGTTTCCGCCCATCACATAAAGGTCCTTGATCTTCTCGCGCACCTCCGGGTACAACTTCACGCACAGAGCCAGGTTCGTCAGCGGGCCTACAAAAATCAGCGATATGTTTCCGGGGTCAGCGCTCAATCTCCGATACAGTTCGTTGACGGCATGCTCCGGTTGGATCAACGCCTCGTCCGGAGCTTCAAAATTCAAATCCCCAAATCCGTCCACCCCGTGGAAGTGCCCCTCGCGGTCCGGTGGAGGCGTAATCAGCGGTTCCACAGCTCCCTTGTACACCGGAACATCCGTCCGGCCGATGGCCGTTAGGATGCGTAGTACGTTTCGGGTTGCATTGTGCACGTCCGTATTGCCGTGCGTACAAGTGATGGCCTCCACCTTGAAGTTGAACTTCTCTTCGCACTTCAACAGTAGCAACAAAGCCCAGGCATCGTCCGTACCGACGTCGACGTCGACGATCACTTTTCGGGTGGACATTTCTGCAACAGCAAACAATCAAACGCGTGAAGTACGTTAGTTTTGACGATTCTGTGAAAGCACGTGTTATTGAGTAAAGTGTTGGATTTGAACTGAAGAGCGAGGTGCTCTGCAGACGAAAAAGGATCGTCGCGTGAAAGGCGTGAATAAGTTGAGCTCACGTGCACTATTCTGCAATGCACGACGTGTACATTTTTACATCATTGATAAAATCTCAGGTAATCATGACATTTTGATTTTTGAAAACAACACGAATGAAAAAAAAAAAAGACCTACTGCGTCAAGATCTGTCATGATGACCTGAGTTTTGTAAAAAAAAAAAACGTAAATATTTACGCTGTGTGCAACGAAGAATAATCAAGCGGTTTAAAAATACTCAAACACGCATTTCGCGCTTTCTTTCCCGTTTTCATTCAGAATGTTTGTTTTGTTGGTCGTATTTTTTATCGCATTCAAGCAATACAATCAGTTGAGCGTGCAAGAAAAGTGCAAATCAAATCGGAAGCTTTATCGCCTCATCGTGGTGAATAGCTTATCAAAATGAACTTGAATTCGAGTTTACGATTTAGGAAAACGGTGTATTCGGACGGTTCACGTTTCATAGAGAGCTGTCCCGATTTTATCATGACAATATACTGCCGCTGGAAGCATAATTGTCCCATGTGTTATATGAAACTTCATAGCATATGGGACAATTATGCGTCCACCGGCAGTATACACGGTAAGAAAAAAGTACCCAACGGTCAGTTCACTTTGACCTACTTTTGACTAGTTTGTCTCCTTTTCTCCTTCTAATGTTGTCAAAAACGGAGGAGCAAAACCACCCAACAGGGGTAGTAAAGTGCGGGAACCCAACGTTGAGTATAATCATATTTACCTACTTTTGGGTACAACTAACTTACTTTTGGGTAGAAAGCTAGCGGATAATTCCATACGAACTGCACACAAGTAAATGAAAACTACTGTTACGTTTAGTATAGTTTATGTAAGAACTGATCATAGTTAATGTGGTGTTTACACTTAGGCAAGTTCACTAGCGCTAATGAGCTCGCTGCTAGCAAAAACGCTCACAAGCATAATGTAAACAGGGCATCAGCGTCTATCAACATGAAATTTCAGAAGGAACTGAAATTCGTGCTAGTTGGCGAGTACATTAGCGCGAATAAATTCGCACAGATGTAAACACCCCATTAGGATGGGTGCATTTCTTGACAACCACCGTACACCGCTAATTATTTTGCACACAAAAGCTGCAATATCATCCGTCACATCGGCAAAGCGAATAACAGGAGAAAGCAAGACACAAAACAGACTGGCAAAACGTTTGCTTGCCCCCGTGCGCGTGTGTTATCGTCTCGTGCTGGGAAAGAATCGGTCGGTCGGTCCAGAAGCGGACAAAGTTGAATCGGTCTGGTACCTTGACCTGCGAACGAAAGTGGCAAGTAAAAAAATGCAGTGGTAGTAACATAGAAGGTCCCGAAGAAATGTGCTCAACTTTTTGGCTCAGCTCTGGTACTCTCTTCAGTCCCAAGCTAATCAATGCACCCCTCGAAACAGAGGAAAATCCACGAACCCCTCATTTTATCTGTCAAACTTTCATAGCGAATCAAAACAAACATAGTGTAGTAGTCAATGTACATTGGTCTTTTTGAAACGTGATGCGAGACTTGTCATCAATCGGATGTCAGTTCCCATAAGTTTAAATTTAACGTACCATGTTTAAGGCAATTTCCAAAACCAGAGGCAGTCGCGGCATTGAAAATGGTCTGATTTTGATCCAGAGATGATGGATTTTAATTCTTAATTCGCCAATCGATAGGAAATTTTTCTAAAAATATCGGACCAGCCTAAGGCTGAAAGTCTCGTTAATAAAGGAAAAAAAAATTCTAAAAATATGTTAAAATTAAGAATTTATTGTTTTTCAAAAGTCACTATTGAAAATTCCACGAATCTGCAACTGTGGCTATGATAATTAAAATTATCACCGATTCCCTACGAGAAGCGCTTTCCCTAAAACAGATTTCAAAATTGAATTGCATCCGGTCTCACCGAACGGTGTTTATTCAATCGCCACGTGCGGTGAGTGGTGGTGTTCTCCAGCACACAACGAAAAGCTCCTCGCAAGCAGCGAAGAAGGAGGTAGAAGCCGCCACTACTGATCGGATTCAGTTGCTCAGATTCTGTGATCGATGTGTTTTCCCCAAACACAGATTTAATTTCCGAATACCAAAATTAATGGGCACTTTTGTAGAAGATCAGTAAGCTGCGTCTACATCAGTAGGCTAGTTATTACAGTAATTACAATTATTACAATAAATTTTCATTCTACTTCTAACCGTCAACCGAACCAGACGTTTTCATTACCTACTCCCAATAGGTTATGGGCCGTACGCGAACGTTCTGTTAGGAAGTTTCTAGAAGATCAAGAAAAAAATTTCACCGAAAAGTAGAGAAGATGTCTTCAAGCGGAAGCGGATCAAGCGGTAGTTACGTCCAGTCAATTTCAAGCTTACCCGGAATTGAACGCCTCATCGGTCGGGAGAATTGGACCACCTGGAAGTTTGCGGTTCAAACGTATCTGGATTTCGAAGACCTGTGGTGCGGTGAAGCCGAAGCGGAAAGCGGACGGTACCTACGAAGCGGTAGACACTGGGAAAGATCGGAAGGCGCGTGCGAAGGTCATCCTACTACTGAACCCGGTGAATTACGTCCACGTTCGGGAAGCAGAAACAGCGCAGCAAGTATAGTCCAAGCTGGAGACCGCCTTCGAGGTCTCGGGCCTAACCAGACGAGTCGGGCTTCTCCACAAGCTGATCAAGACGGAGCTGTCATCGTGTGATTCCATGGCCGACTACGTCAACCAAATCGTGTCGACAGCGCACCAGCTGGATGGCATTGGTTTTGCGATTTCTGCGGAGTGGGTTGGTATCGTCCCATGATTATGGCCTTATTAACGCCCATCACCGGAGATGCCATCAAAACGAAGCTTCTTCAAGACATCCAGGTTTCTTCTCTAGACTCGGCGTTGGCCACAAGCAAAGGAGCAAATCGCAGTGGAAGGCACGTGGGTAAGCATACGAAAAAACTCGACCCCCCGAAAGGACCAGTGTCGGAAAGCACAAAAAAGTAATGCATTTTGCACAGTTCTTTCAACGTTCAGTTCAGCTGACAAGGATGACTGGTTTTTTGATTCGGGTGCAAGCGTGCATATGACCCGGAATCAAAACCTGCTGGAGAACATGAAGCGTTCTGCCGGCACAGTGGTAGCTGCAATCGGCGGCAGCATGAAGGTGGTAGCAACGGGCTCAACGGTACTGAAGCCACAGTGCCAGCAAGAGGCCATCCCGGAGAAGGAAGTTCAGCTGCTACCGGAGCTCAGTGCAAACCAGCTGTCCGTGAGCCAAATTGTGAACAAGGGACACACCGTTATTTTCACCAACGACGGATGCAAAGTGGTCGATATGGACGGCGACGTGATTGCAACAGGTATCCATGACAACAATCTTTTCAAATTGCAACAGCATCGGAAAGACACGAAAAGCGTGCTAGCTTGTTCGTCTTCCGTGAGCTTAGAGGTTTGGCATCGAAGATTGGGCCACTTGAACGTCAAGAGCATTCGGCGGCTCGCCGATGGTTTGGTCGATGGCGTGAAAATCAACAGCGGTAACCATGGAAACTGCAAAGTTTGTGCCATGGGTAAGCAGTGTCGTCATCCGTTCAGCAAACAAGGCTCTCGTGCTCCCGAGAAGCTCGACGTCGTTCACTCCGACATATGCGGGCCAATGGAGGTGAGTTCCCTAGGAGCTAGTCGTTATTATATTGTATTCGTAGACGACAAATCCCGGCACATGTGGGTGTACTTCCTCAAGTCGAAGTCTGAAGCGGACGTTTTGAAGGCATTCAAGGAATTCCACGTGATGGCTGAGCGGCAATCTGCTAAAGATGTGACGAACCGACAACGGGAAGGAGTATGTGAACCGTGGCAGCACGGCATACGGCATCAGAAGACGAACGACTACACTCCGGAGCAGAACGGCATGGCAGAACGAGCGAACCGATCGATTGTGGAGCGTGCTGGTGCATGCTGTTCGAAGCAGGACTGTCGAAAGTTTTTTGGGCGGAAGCTGTCTCGACGGCCGTATATCTGTTAAATCGATCTCCAACGCATGGCCACGATGTCACTCCCGAAGAGGCTTGGACTGGGAAAAGGACGAACCTATCCCACGTTCGAGTATTTGGAACCAAAACGATGGCGTTCATTCCGAAGCCGAAGCGGAAGAAGTGGGATCCGAAATCCCGCGAGTGTATGGTTTCGACGAGGACACCAAAGGGTACAGGCAGTACGATCCAAAATCCAGGAACATTATCAAGAGCCGAGAAGTCACAATCATCGATGAAATCAATCGTGAAGGTAACGAAGCGAAGCAAGACGTCTCCCGACGTCCCACACTGGTACAGCTTGATATCGAGGATGTTGTTTCGCTGTCTCTAGACGAAGCCCTGTTGCAACCGCAGCCAGATGAGCCGAAGAAGAATTTTTCACCGATGAAGACAGCAGCAGTGAGAGCGACTTGTCCACAGATTCCGAGATCGTCGTGACTTCCGTGCTCCCACCGCGACAATTTTCAAATCCACCTCAGTCACAGGTGTTGAGGCGCAGCGGTCGGGAGCACAGGCTACCAGGTAAGCATGATGATTTTCAACTGTCACACAAAGTTCAGCGGCGCCGGTGGTGTAGTGGTAAGCGTGATTACCTCTCATCCCAGCAGGCCTGGGTTCAATCCCAGTCGGCGCCGCCGGGATGTTCTGAGGCATAACATCTCTGATCACGCCTTCCTTAGGAAGGGAAGTAAAGCCGTTGGTCCCCGGTACATGAGTTGATGGGTCGATAGGTAGGGTCCAGGTGTGGGAACTGCCTCCCTGGCGTCGGTAGCATTGGTGCTCAGCACGGAAAACAAGATCGACGGAAAACAAATCAAAGAAAAAAAAACTGTCACACAAAGGTCTGGCGCATATTATTCCCCCACAGAGCACCACCCGTAATACCAATCTCGACGGCGATGGGCCGTTAATGAGCACTGACATTTGACAACCAGGGTCAGTTCAGCGGAATGGCGGAATCTACAATTCAAGCCAACGCTAGGAGGATGGATGATGATCCGGTGACACACCAGGAGGCATTGTCCAGAAACGACTCCGTACG